CTTTACAGCAGTTAACATTTATTGTAATAAGGAGTAAAGATAAAGGTTTGGTAGAGCATTAGCTGGACCTAATAATGTATCTTTGTAGGGATTTAAAAGGTATTTATACATTTTAGACATTCGGCTAATTTTTGCAGAATCATTGCAAACAGTTTTTATTATCTTTTCGCCACCCTTACTGCGCATATCTGTGACATCTTACTTGACCAGTTGGCATTCAACGTTTAGGAAAGCAGTGATTTTACACCTTGAGTTTATTCAATAAAAAAAGATCTTAATCAGTGCATGCGACACGCATTCTCTGTAAGCACCAACGAATTTACTATAGGGCTTGGAAACGACATGTCTCAGATTTTGATGAAATTTTTACCATAGATGTGTCTTGGTACAAAACTAGTAAATATGGTGTCGGAAGTTCCACGCGTGCACTTGGTTGCCATGGAGACGGATCCATTGAATCCGGCCATTTTTGGCCCATTTTGACTAAATGAAAACATGAAAATTGAGGAAATGTAAATGAATATTTATCGGTATCTAATACACTCTAACAAAAATCATTGGATCATTTGATAACATGACCTTTTAAGGTACACAGAGCATATAATCGTTTATTCTAGAAATATTCTTCCTGTAAGAAAAAGGTCATGTAAAATGACATGGTTTCTAAAAATTTGAAAAATGGGAAAATTGGAACTTTTTGAGATCTTTGAGGCTAAATAAGAAAAATTGTCCGCGGAAATTTCCCAAATCTTATGTGTGTAATTATATTTGGGAATAAGTAGTGTCATTTCATGAAAAAACATAAGTGGGCTTTTGCACCTATTTTTAGTAACATGTATCTATAAATAGATATATTTTAGAAAAATGTGAAAAATCCAATTTTGGCAAAGTTTTAATTGTCATTACTGCATAATTAGAACGTATGTTGTTAAATTTGAAATTTTAATGACAGGAGCTGGACACCACCAGCTGGTATGGACAGCGGTTGAGGGGAATTCCCATTTCTATTTTTAGTATCAGGTGGCTAAATATAGATATGTCTCTGAATATAAGGAAAAAGGACATTTTTGTTCTAATTGGAAGCTTCATATAAAAATTCCTAACAAATATTAAGCTTTCTACAATATGCTTTCAGAATGTACATGTGTTTGTTCAAAAATTGCTACAATATTGAGGATGGACTCTTGTTTCATTTTATGGCAACAATGGTCTAAAAATAGATTACTCGAATAATTGAGAAAATATAGATTATTGCACCTTTTCAGGCAATTTTTAGATGTAGTTGCTGCATAATTAGGAAATATTTTGTAAAATTTTAGATGTTAATGACAAGATCTGGATAGCACTAGCTGGTATGAATAATTGTTGAGGGGAATTCCCATTTCTATTTTTAGTATCAGGTGGCTAAATATAGATATGTCTCTGAATATTAGGAAAAATGACATTTTTGTTCTAATTGGAAGCTTCATATAAAAATTCCTAACAAATATCAAGCTTTCTACAATATGCTTTTGGAATGTGCATGTGTTTGTACAAAAAATGCTATAATATTGAGGATGGACTCTTGTTTCATTTTATGGCAACAATGGTCTAAAAATAGATTACTCGAATAATTGAGAAAATATAGATTATTGCACAGTTTCAGGCACTTTAAGATGTAGTTGCTGCATAATTAGGAAATATTTTGTAAAATTTTAGATGTTATTGACAAGATCTGGATACGACTAGCTGGTATGGATAATTGTTGAGTGGAATTCCCATTTCTGTTTTTAGTATCAGGTGGCTAAATATAGAGATGTCTCTGAATATTAGGAAAAATGGCATTTTTGTTCTAATTGGAAGCTTCATATAAGAAATCCTAACAAATATAAAGCTTTCTGCAATATGCTTTCAGAATGTACATGTGTTTGTACAATAATTGCCACAATATTGAGGATGAACTCTTGTTTCATTTCATATCAACAATGGTCTAAAAATAGATTATTCGAATAATGGAGAAAATGTAGATTACTGCATCTTTTTAAGCACTTTAAAGATGTCATTGCTGATTACTTAGGAAGTATATTGTAAAATTTGAGATGTTAATGACAATAGCTTGACACTTTTAGCAGGTGGGCACAATGGTTGAGGGGCTTTCCCATTTCTATTTTTAGTATCACGTGGCGTAATATTGATATGAAGTACTCTAAATATTAGGGAAAATTGAAGTTTTATGTTAATTTGAATTTTAGTACTAAATGTCTTTATAAATATAATGCTTTCTACAATATGCCTACAGAATGAACACTTGTTTGTACAATAATTGCTACAATATTGAAGATGAACTCTTGTTTCTTTTTAAAGCAACAATGGTCTAAAAATAGATTCCTGGAATAAGCGAGAAAATGTAGATTATTGCACTTTTTCTGGCACTTTTTTGATGTCATAGCTGCATAATTCGGAAGTATATTGTAAAATTTGAGATGTTAATGACAGTAGCTGGCCACAACTAGCTAGTGTGGACAAAAGTTGAGGGGGGTCCTATTACTATTTTTAGTATCACATGGCGAAATATAGATATTTAGGCCATTTATAGGAAAACTTTAAAAATCTTTTCAATTGTTCTGTGAAATAATTCCTGATTGTCCTAATTCTAGTCTTTGACAATGTACCTGTATTTTCATCTACAAGTTTATTTTGTCCAAAGACTTTTCATTGTTTTAGACGAAGACTCAAAGAGCGTATTCTATATGGCAGTTTCTGTGGTCTGCATTTTTTTTTTTTTTGATAGTCACCATATTTCAAGAACATTTTGTCATTTCTTGTCAAAATCGTCACAGAGTATCTAAGGATTTTTGTTAATAAATGTACCAAACATAGGGATTTTCTCTTGAAACAAGAGGAGACACTAGGGAATCTAATCTCTAATAACAAGACCTTGTTAAAATGCCATTTCACTGATCTGTTATAGGGTTACTCTCATGACTGTTGATGCCCTCTTGTCTCTTTCATAAGAAGGTACGGTTTGAGCTTTATTGTGCACAAAAAATTTAATGTTCTTAAAAAGTTGTGAAATTGGCTTAATTAACAATCATTGAGTAGATGAATATGATAGATCATTAAAGAATATGACACGAAAGGGGGTCGTTCAGGATATATGACGTCATTAATTTGGTACACTTTTAAGTTTAATGCAGAAAAGCCTCCAAATGACTCATTTCTGTGCTGATTTTCCTTTAGCCACCGTCGCCCTCTTTAATTTTGGGATATATTATGTAAACTGCTATGAAAAATAACATACCGGTTATCTCAAAATCTCTCTGGGCGAGAGTAGCAGAGTATGTCTTCTGAAAGAAAATATTCCACTGAAAATTGATGTCTTCTGCAACTTTTTAAGAAAATACGGGAAAATACACAAGTTAATGACGTCACAATTAGCATTTAGGAGGTCATATAAGAAAAACGATATGTGTATTTTTACTGCAGGGAATTCTTATGATTCAGAAAGAGTGAATTTTGATTTCTTATATCACTTTCATATTTTAGAAAAATATAGGGCTTTAAATATTTTGTATTGAAACTGTACCTTGTTCTTTGTTTCTATAAATAGAACTGGAATTCCTCATTGATTTTGCATATTTCAAATATAAGTAGAATTGAATGTCATCATTGTTTTTGTCAGTCACACAACGTCTACCGTAAATCTGGAAATTTTTACGTCGATTTTATTTTGCGAATTCAGGTCAAAATTGTGCTTATTAATTTTTACGTATCAAAATTTTGCGAATAACCCCGGCTTTGTTAACATTTTCTTATTTGTAATTTATTTTTAAGAAAAATATTTTTGCGACTGCAAACTCGCAAATTTGCTAAAAATTTATCTACAGCAAAAATTTCCAGACTAACGGTATAACATTGATTTTTCTTCCAACATTGCCTGAAAAGGTACAATAACCCATATTTTCTCGATTATTCTAGGAATCTTTTTAGACCATTGTTGGTATAAAAAAAAAGGGTCAGTCCTAAACATTGTAGTAATTCCTGTACAAACAAGTGCTCATTTGGAAGGCATATTGTAGAAAGCTTTATATTTAAGACATTTTCAAGGAAGATTAAAATTAGCTAAAAACTGCCATTTTTTCCTAATATTTAGAGACAAATCTATATTTTGCCATGTGATACTAAAAATTGAATTGGGAAACCCCCTCAGCCATTGTCCACACCGACTAATGGTGTCCAGCTATTTTCATTAACATCTCAAATTTTACAATGTACTTCCTAATTAAGCAGCAATGGCATCTATAAAGTGCCTAAAAAAGGCGCAATAATCTACATTTTCTCAATTATTCGAGTAATCCATGTTTAGACCATTGCTGCTATAAAATGAAACAAGAGTCCATCCTCAGTATTGTAGCATTTATTGTACAAACATGTGCATTCTGAAAGCATATTGTAGAAAGCTTTAATTTTGTGAGGACTTTTCATATGAAGCTTCCAATTAGAAGAAAAATGTCATTTTTCCTAGTATACAGACATATCTATATTTATCCACCTGATACAAAAAATAGAAATGGGAATTCCCCTTTACCATTATCCATACCTGACCAGCTAGTGGTGTCCAGATCTTGTCATTAACATCTAAAATTTTACAAAATATTTCCTCATTATGCAGCAATTACATCTAAAATGTGCTTGAAAAGGTGCAATAATCTACATTTCCTCAATTATTCGAATAATCTATTTTTAGACCATTGTTGATATGAAATGAAACAAGAGTTCATCCTCAATATTGTGGCAATTATTGTACAAACACATGTACATTCTAAAAGCATATTGCAGAAAGCTTCATATTTGTTAGGACTTCTTATATGAAGCTTCCAATTAGAACAAAAATGCCATTTTTCCTAATATTCAGAGACATCTCTATATTTAGCCACCTGATACTAAAAATAGAAATGGGAATTCCCTTCAACAATTATCCATACCACCTAGTGGTATCCAGATCTTGTCATTAGTGTATTTATGTATATAAAGGAATTTATGGGATCTAAATGCTCAAAGGTTTTTGTATTTTGATTTACTAATAATGTGTATGAATGTTTGGGTCTTGAGGGGTTTTTCCGGGTTATAGTTTCCAAGCGCCCTCTATTTACGGCTATTAGCCTAACCCATATTCATAATTCCGCTTGGCTCCAAAAAAAACGTGGTTTGAAAATTTTAGAAGTTTTTACTTGTGTTGTGAGTATTCATAATTGTATAAATCATGCAGGATAGTGTCCTGATTCTCGGGCATTCATTCATTGTTCGTTTACAGCGGTTTATGAATCGTTCTGAGCAGTTACATGTTAATCTGGATCTACAACAGAAAGTTTTTTGCAGAGGATATTCGGGTTGTACAATCGATAGAATATCAGTTAGAGGCTTAAGAGAGGTTGATAGATTTAAACCAGCTGTAGTGTGTCTGCAGATAGGTTCGAACGATTTGTGTAACTTAGATGTTGAAGTTTACGATCTGGTTGAAAAAATAGTTTCGTTCACCGATAAGCTCCGGGGTCGTGGAGTGCAGAGGGTATGTGTTTATCAAATTCTTCATAGAAAACCACCAGGTAAACCTGGCAGATTTTCAGTAGACGTTGAGTGGTTCAATGCCAGGGTAGATGTGGTTAATAGGCTTTTGAATGATAGGTTAGGAAGAGACTTTGGCTCGGGTGTCAGATTCTGGAGGCACTCAGGATTTTGGTCACAGGAAAATAAAGAAATAGTATACTGTGAAGATGGTGTGCACCTAAATGAAACATACGGGTACCCAAAATATTACAATAGTGTTAGGGCCTCAGTTGTTTCAGCACTTAAAAGCTTACAAGTGGTTTAATAAAATTGAATACAAATTACACTGTTATGGTAAAATGGGGTTGCTTGTGCATTGTTTTATCAGGGAACTTGGGATGTCAGGAAGTGCGATTAAATGACATAGGTTTATCTACAACTCTTAGGTTTTATGTCATTGGTTGTTCACCTGGTAAATGTTACGTCAGTCGATTACCATGTTTTTCATTGTTTACCATAGGATTCGATTCATGAAAGTTTCATAGGTTATTTTAAACAGGTATTCCCAAAGTATATTATATGAATTGTTACCCGTCATGGTTGGGCTATCAGTGCTGTAGCTCTATATGGTTAAGCTATATGTTTCCATGTATGGTTGGGCACCATGGTGTTGTTATGCCCTATATGGTTGGGCAATATATACTATGGCCCCATCTGGTTGAGCTATATGCATCCCAGTATGGTTGGGCTCCATGGTGTGCTGTCCTATATGGTTATTGGCTGGACGCCTTGGTGTTGTTATGCCCTATATGGTTGAGCTATATGCATCCCATTATGGATGGGCTTTATGTTATATATGGTTATGTTTGGGCACCATGGTGTTGTTATGCCCTATATGGTTGGGCAATATATACTATAGCCCTATATGGTTGAGCTATATGCATCCCAGTATGGTTGGGCTCTATGGTGTTTCTGTCATATATGGTTATGTTTGGGCACCATGGTGTTGTTATGCCCTATATGGTTGGGCAATATATACTATAGCCCTATATGGTTGAGCTATATGCATCCCAGTATGGTTGGGCGCTATGGCATTTATGTCATATATGGTTATGGTTGGGCACCTTTGTGTTGTTATAGCCCTATATGGTTGGACTATATGTATCCCAGTGTGGTTGGGCGCCGTGGTGCTCGTTTTTGTTGGGCTATATGTGTGGTTGGTTTGAGACATTTAAAATTGGTGGGATGCATGTAATGGTTGAACATAATGTCATATATCCGGTAGGACTGAAGACAGAACTTCACTTCATTAGTTTTATATAGTTGTTATTGTGAGTTGTCCTATATGGTTGGATATTTTATTGATACATATGTACGGTCCATCATACTTAGCAAGAATTTCCCTGTACGGTCAGCACACATTATGCTCATGTTGATATGAATGTTTAGAAATTTTAGTTTATATATTTTATAAGGTTTTTATATAATTACTAATATTAAGATTTACCCCTTTTTTGGGAACTTATGATCAGGTTATATAGGGTTGGACATTTTTATTTTGCATACATGTATTCTGCATGATTGGGTAATACACATAATTTAGCAAGGCTTGGATTGCACTCTTAGGTAGTATTGTCAGGTTGTTTTGTATGACATGTTAGTTGACATAGCCTGTATGGGTGGAGTTACTTGACAAGTTCTACTTTGTAGAATTAGGCATATTATGCTTTGTTGCTTACGGTGTCACAAGGAGACTTAGATGTCAGGTCCATAATTAAAAGTTTTGTCTTGTGATAGTTTCATACATTTATGACTCATTTATGGGTGATTTTGAGAGAAGGATACAATACATAAAATGGAATGTAGGTGGACACATATATATATATTATAATATTGATATAAGTACATTAACACAATAATCATTGTAATGAAATGATCTTATTCATAAGCTTCTATTTAAGTATGTTTTAAATCCTTTGCAAGCATTGCATTTTCAATGGTAAACTTCAGACTGACCATCTATTAATTTGTCATGTAGAGCTTTGCTTACAAAGTATTTTACAGGAAAATGCCTAGGGCCAAAGCTGGTGCCAAGAGAAGGAGTACAGAGGTTTCAAACAGTACTACAGGCACAAGAGCAAAGACGAGAAAAGCACAGGAGGTAGACAGTGAAGCTAAGGAGGATGTGTTGGTGAAGAAAATCACCCAGGCCGTGTTGGAAGCAATCGATGAAAGGAACAAAGCCACTGATACCCAAGGGGGAGGTGCTTCTGATAGTGACGGTGAGTCCGACTCAGAGATTACCTTTAAGGATATTGAGGGGTCAGATGATGAATATGCCTCAAGTGAGGCAATTGATACTTCTACTTGGTCAACTCCTATTTCGGCAATGATTCCACAAAAGCTTAAGCAAAAGATATGGGAAGATCAGTATATTGACCTTGCAGCTCTTCTCCCTAACAATTTAATCCCTTGCACCGAAAATAATGACTACACATTTAAAATAGGGGAGAACACTAACCTCTCGGTAGTACCCAAAAGGGCAAAACAAACAATTAAGACCATATTCCAGTGGACAACAGCATTTCTGCGTTTCCTTTCTGTCTACACTGAAAAATTTCCGAACGAAACGCCAAATTTATTAAAACACGCGGAGACAGTTCGTGATATGGCATCATCTGGAAATGTTTCTTGGCAAACATATGATAAACAAATTAGGATGGACAGGCAAAACAGGGGTACTCCTTGGGGGAAGCTAAATGTTGAATTCATTCTTCAGGCTCAGAGATCTAGGGAGGAAGCTAACCAGCCCTTTCGTCCCTTTCGATCAAGGTTTGGACAAAGATCCGGGGGGAGAAAACATTACCCCAAAGGAATTTGCTGGAAATATAATAGGGATGGAAGTTGCAAAACTGAAAACTGCAGATTCGAACACATTTGTACAGGATGTAAGAGAAACCACCCTAAAACAAAGTGCAGAGCACAAACAACTAGTAAAAGCCCAGTGCAGTTTCCCTCAGGCAATACAGCAAAACACCAATGAGGTCGTGACCCCTATTATAGCTAATGTATTGCAATATCTGTTACTAGGCTATGACGCAACCATTTCTGAGTATTTGATTTCAGGATTTAAATATGGATTCGACTTACACTATCACGGTCCGAGATATTTCAGATCATCTAGGAATCTTTCTTCTGCCGTTCGTAACCCAGTCGTTGTTTGCAACAAATTACAGAAAGAACTTGATGCTCAAAGAATTGCTGGGCCTTTTGTTTCACCCTCCTTTGAAAATCTTCAAATTTCCCCGATTGGTATTGTACCAAAGAAAGAACAGGGTCAATTTAGACTCATACACCATCTATCTTTTCCTGAAAAAAATTCAATCAATGATTTTATTCCAGATACATTCACAAAAGTTCAATATGCTACTCTAGATGATGCTGTAAATATTATTGTCTCGATAGGGAAGGGTTGCCTTTTGGCCAAAACAGATGTGGAATCAGCTTTTCGGATTATACCCATTCGAAAAGAAGATCATGAATTACTGGGCTTTCAATGGGATGGTCTCTTCTTTTATGATAAATGTTTGCCAATGGGGTGTGCGAGTTCTTGTGCTATTTTTGAAACATTTTCCACGGCCTTAGAATGGATTGGTAAGGTTAAGGGGCATATTCCTCACATAACTCATATATTGGACGATTTTCTTTTTATTGGTCCACCTGCATCGGGAATATGTAATCAAAGTTTACATGTTTTCAAACTTACATGTGAAAGTCTAGGTGTTTCTTTAAAGGCAGAAAAGACTTCTTGGGCAACTACAAACTTGGTATTTCTTGGTATTGAAATCGACACATTGGCTATGGAGATTAGGTTGCCGCGTGATAAATTGGAGAAATTAAAACAAGCTATAGATTCAATGAAATTTAAGCGAAAGGTTACCCTTAGAGAACTTCAGTCCTTGATAGGACTGCTTAATTTTGCTTGTCTAGTGATCGTGCCTGGGCGTACATTCTTAAGGCGGCTCATTGACCTAACAAAAGGCCTTTCAAAGCCTCACCACCACAAAGACATGGTTAGAGAGAGTAGGCGTGATCTGGCTGCTTGGTCATTATTTATAGATCACTTCAATGGGAAATCATTATTATTTAAACATATCTGGGTGACATCGAAACAAATTCATCTCTACACTGATGCAGCAGGTTCTCTGGGGTTTGGAGCTGTGTTTGAAAAGAAATGGTTCTATGGGTCTTGGCCAGAAAATCTGAAGGATTATGATATTACCCTCAAGGAATTATTCACGATTGTGTTAGCTGTCGAACTATGAGGATCTAACTTAAAGAATTCTTGTGTCATATTCCATTCGGATAATGCAGCAGTTGTTCACATTGTGAACTCGCAAACATCAAAAGATTCAAAAATCATGATTTTGGTGAGAAGATTAGTTTTGGCACTTATGACATACAATATTCTCTTTTCGGCAGAACACATCCCAGGAATGTTCAATATTTTACCAGACTTACTTTCACGCTTACAGATCGAGAAATTCAAAGAAGTGTCCGTGGATATGGAGGCCAAACCCACCAGCATACCAATCCATCTTTTGCAACTCTCCAAAGCACAGCATGTAGTTTAATAGACGCAGCATTGGCTCCTAACACAAAGAAATTGTACAGGCAGGCCCTAAATTGTTTCAGTAGTTTTATTCAGAGTTATTACAAGACTGACTGCATTAAGGAGATTTCCCTTGGACAGGTTATTTGTTTCGTGTCATACCTATTCAGTTTAGGAAAAGCACCAAGCTCAATATCAACTTACCTGGCAGCATTGGCTTACTATTTCAAAATGACAAATGCCCCAGATCTCTCAAATCATTTCTTGATCAAGAAAATGTTAAGTGGGGCAAAACGGCTTGTCAATTCTTCAGATGTCCGACAACCAATTACTTTGGATATTCTTGGGAAGCTCCTGGTGGCAATACCACATGTAGCCAATTCTAAGTACCAAGAATATTTGTACATGGCGATGTTTCTTTTAGCATTTTATGCTTTTCTAAGAGTGGGAGAAATCACAGTTCGTTCTGGCTCAAATCCAAACCTGTTGCTTCGAAGAAATGTTTCTTTCAAGCGTGACAAAAAACAAGTACGCATGGTTGTTACAATGATCAACTTCAAACATAATTTAGGTAAAAAACCTGTCCAGCTGGAAATAAATCCCCAACCCAAATGCAGCTTTTGTCCGGTGCAAGCTATGAGAAATTATTTGGAGGTGCGAGGTGCAGAAGAAGGAGCCCTATTTTGCTACAGATCAGGACGACCCATCTCGCGTACAGAATTTTGTGATGTTTTGAGGTCAGCACTAAAATTTTCCAAGCTTGATTCTAACACATTTAAAGCACACAGCTTCAGGATAGGAGCAGCAACCCAGGCACATTTACAGGGTTTTTCAGATTCACAAATAAGAGTCATGGGACGATGGCACTCAGAGTCATTTAAGAGATACATTAGGGTATCAATGTTTCCAACATTTTAGTGTGTACATTTTTTTTGGGAAGAGGTTAGAAGCTCCAAATATAAAGGATAACTGTCTGAGGCGGTATCCTTTATTTTTGGTCACTTGATTGTATTTTGAAGGAAGGGGGATTCTGTTTGAAGCATTTTTCATCTCTTTTCATTGCATCCCTTTCCAGGTAATAAATTCTTAATTCAATAATCTCATAATTTTGCATATGTTTGATGTTTTAGGTTAATTTCATGGTATCATTTTTTTTATCATGAATGAGAGAGTTACACTGCAACATGTTTGATTGTCTTAATTTATAGCTACATTAACATGTACAGTAAATTTATTAAATTTGGGTGACTGTCTGAGGCGGCACTCAAGATTTTTGCTATGGAGGATTGTTAATGTTTCATGTCATTTTTTCTGTTACAAGATATGTAATCATTATGTACATATGTTAATAACTTTCAACCTGTGAGTGGATGGTGGAACTATATCTTACTAAGCCTAGTGTGTTTTATATGTTAGAATTTCTTATATGGATCATTTCCATTATCCGTCTAGTGCATTATATATAGCGGGACATGCTGATTACTATTACTTGATTTTGTGTTATCGTTTAACAGACAATATACATGTATACGCATATATTTATATTTGGTTAATGTTCGGACAAGGCTATGTTCCTCATGGGCAGGATAAAACAAGGGGAATTTAAACAGAGGATTATTTGAGTAAGAACATAAATTTCGTTTCTATGCAGTATGGTCTATAACTTAACAATAATATTTAATTAGTGTGATGAGTATGTGTATAATACAAGATGACAAAACTTTATATAAAATTTTTGAATGTGAATCGATTACTGTTCCTCTTAAGTATTCCATTGATCCCTATATCAATTTATTTGTTTTATTATCATACTCATGTTGAACTGAAGCACATTTTTGGGTGGGGCGAGGGACCCTTCTCTATAAGTTCATTGTCCCTCTTGTGGGATATTTTTTGCACCCCACCTTCTGCTGCATTCTGAAATTGTAAAATTTTTCATTTTATTTGGCATTTGTAATGTAATAAATGCTCTATTCACAAACACTCGCTTTATCATTTTAATGGCTGCAGAACAGAGCTGCAAATGTGCTTCAGGTACATGTACATACGAACTGAGTTGTTCATTATTGCCCGCATTTAAGAGCACATAGGTGTATTTATGTATATAAAGGAATTTATGGGATCTAAATGCTCAAAGGTTTTTGTATTTTGATTTACTAATAATGTGTATGAATGTTTGGGTCTTGAGGGGTTTTTCCGGGTTATAGTTTCCAAGCGCCCTCTATTTACGGCTATTAGCCTAACCCATATTCATAATTCCGCTTGGCTCCAAAAAACGTGGTTTGAAAATTTTACCCTCCTCCACCCCCCTTCAAACCTCCATGCACATTTTTATTATTGTTCAGATTACTGATTTTCTTGTGTTGAAGGTGTGGGATATTTTTTGCACCCCACCTTCTGCTGCATTCTGAAATTGTAAAATTTTTCATTTTATTTGGCATTTGTAATGTAATAAATGCTCTATTCACAAACACTCGCTTTATCTTTATCATTTTATATGGCAATATTGCAATTATTGTACAAACACATGTACATTCTGTTAAAATATTATAGAAACATTTTTCCTAATATTCAGAGACATATCTATATTTAGCCACCTGATACTAAAAATAGAAATGGGAATTCCCCTCAAGAATTATCCATACCAGCTAGTGGTGTCCAGATCTTGTCATTTACATCTAAAATTTTACAAAATATTTCCTCATTATGCAGCAACTACATCTAAAAATTGCCTGAAAAGGTGTAATAATCTACATTTTCTTATTTATTCGAGTTATCTATTTTTAGACCATTGTTGCCATAAAATGAAACAAGAGTCCATCCTCAATATTGTAGCAATTTTTGAACAAACACATGTACTTTCTGAAAGCATATTATAGAAAGCTTAATATTTGTTAGGAATTTTTATATGAAGCTTCCAATTAGAACAAAAATGCCATTTTTCCTAATATTCAGAGACATATCTATATTTACCCACCTGTTACTAAAAATAGAAATGGGAATTCCCCTCAACCGTTATCCATACCAGCTGGTGGTGTCCAGCTCTTGTCAATAAAATTTCAAATTTTACAACATACGTTCTAATTATGCAGTAATGACAATTAAAACTTTGCCAAAATTTGATTTTTCACATTTTTTTAAAATATATCTATTTATAGATACATGTTACTAAAAATAGGAGCAAAAGCCCACTTATGTTTTTCTATGAGATGACACTACTTATTCCCAAATATAATTACACATATAAGATTTGGGAAATTTCCGTGGACAATTTTTCTTATTTAGCCTCAAAGATCTCAAAAAGTTCCAATTTTCCCACTTTTCAAATTTTTAGAAACCATGTCATTTTGCATGACCTTTATCTTACAGGAAGAATATTTCTAGAATAAACGATTATATGCTCTGTGTACCTTAAAAGGTCATGTTATCAAATGATCCAATGATTTTTGTTAGAGTGTAATAGATATCGATAAATATTCATTTACATTTCCTCAATTTTCATGTTTTCATTTAGTCAAAATGGGCCAAAAATGGCCGAATTCAATGGATCCGTCTCCATGGCAACCAAGTGCACGTGTAGAACTTCCGACACCATATTTACTAGTTTTGTACCAAGACACACCTATGGTGAAAATTTCATCAAAATCCGAGACATGTCGTTTCGATTTTTTGGTGCTTACAGAGAATGCGTGGTAATTCTTAGTTATGTGATGGTTTTCATTGAAAACGGTAGTCAGGAATGGGATATTGTCCAAGAGAAAATGTAGTTTGATAAAGTATTTCACAATATTGAAAAGCAAATTACTTTACATCGTAAATTCAAAATACTGTTATTATACATTATAAAGTATTTATTTGATTATCAATCTTACAGGAATACCTTTACATCCTGAAGACACACTACACTCCTCCTTCAGACATTTACACTCTTGTTGACAGCCGTCTCCATAGCTAGGGTAAGAACATGACTGAGCACAGTTTACACCAAAATATCCAGGCGAGCATTCTAAGTAAGCATGAAAACTAAGAGATTAGAGGATGGAACTGATTATAATTTCAAATAAAAGTGTAGTAAATTTATTATATGCTGACACATAGAGCCTCGGCAAGCCATTGAAAACTTGCAAACTTTATAAACATAATATTATATATGTTTATCTTTTTTTTAAACAAAATAGTGAACATAATTAAATGTGATCGATCGAAATAATTATTTATTTTTAAAGACAATTAATAAATATTTTTCATATAAGCTATATAGACAGAGGTAAAAGTAGACTTTAACAAGAGATGTTTGTGATATACATATGGCTGGGGGCACAGATCTGCCAAAAATTGCAATTTTCAAAACAAAACAAAAATTGCGCTAGATACTCAATATTCTTATGATTAATATGTGTAGCAAATTGCACTTCAGTATGTTCAACCGCTGCAAAGAAAACAAAGCAAACTGCATATAATTTGATTTCTTCCAAGTTCAAGAGGCATAACTGTCAAAAATTGCTCGATCGTACCCTTAGCATTTTAACTTAGATATTCTTATGATATTTCTGTATACCAAGTTTTATTTCAATAAGTGCGAAGACAAAGAAATGAAACCCTTTTACCTACCGATCGAGAGACAGCAGCAAATAAATGTTCCCTACCTTCTTTGAAGGAATAGGGGGCATTATAAAAATCTACTTACGTGTACAGTTTTTGAAATTGTCGTCCCATCTGTACCCTGAACAGCAGTCCCTGAATCTGCTTATCAAAGAAAAAGAAATCGCTATTTTTGCAAATGTGTTTACTTTAGAATATTTAGACCATTTGAAGACATTACCCATGACCTTCACATTGCGCGGAGCATGATGTCGGGAAGATGAGAAGGACCACAAAGCCAAAGAGAGCCATTTACAAGTTATATGTAAAAAAGAATTAAAATATTTCCTCGTTTCTTGAATCTGGTCGATGAAATGGTTAATATTAGATAACAAGGAAATACTTCCCCAATACTAAGGGATCTCTCGAATTAAGTTTTGATTATTTTCCACTGCAAATAAGAACACTCTAATTAATTAGTTTCACTTCCATTAAGTCGAAACATATCAAAATCATATGCACAAACATGCAGTTCATAAGCTCTATGACATGCATAAAACTATATTTTTTCAAATGTTTCAGATAAAACAAATAATTCAAAGGACAACTTTAAACGGTTACGGAGATGATATGGAAGTAACGAACAGTATTCAAGCTGAAAAGTCCATTATGCAATAAAAACCTAGGGGCAGATCAAACACGGACCTCTAAGTAATAAGTGGTGGAATCAGTTCCCATGGATTGAACATCTACGAGGGCTGTTCGGAAATTATTGAGACAATTACATTTACTCCAAAAAGGACGGAGAAAATTTCATGAAAATTCATCAACATCTTATAAAGAACGACTGAAACACTTATGCAAAATTTCTAATTCCTATGATAATCAGATAAGTTTCGGTGAAGTAATAAATATGCATATGTCTATCGACCCGGAGCAGCATCGCTACGTCATGTAACGTTACGTTAGCCGTAGATTGTTTCGCATGTGAAACGATCGGGAAGCGTTTAATAGTGTACTCTTCCCACTTTGTTATTACATATAACATTACAAAAATCAAACAGTCTCTTTTCTTAAACTATTCTTTAAAAATGTTTGCTGTTGCTACTCCGGTAAAAAATTTTCATTTGTGAGAAAGGATGACATAGAATCATGCAGTGCCCGGTTTAATACCGTAACGATATCAATACTGTACGTAATAACCCATGGTCATCCAGAGCTTTTAATTTTACTCTGGTTAAATTAATTGTAAAAAAAATGTATACCGATGAAATAACAAACCCTAACACATTATTTTTTCTCTTTGTTATTGTTTTAGCAGGCCGTTCAGTCTTGGAAAGAGTTCTACATTGCGTTACACAAAATTTTAGGTATGCTGGCTGCTCCGCCCTTGACGTCAAAATCCATTTTGTCGTTGTTAGCAGATTTCTTTACCGCGCTTAATTTTTTTATGATCTCCGTATTTCTGATCAAATATTTATCAAAGTTGCTGAACATGAATTTGAAATAAAGCTGAAAAACTATACACTTAAACTGAATTATTTTCGCTCTCATTATGGATCCACGAAGAGTTAGAATTTTGGTGT